GCTCTGGGCCGTCCAGCTCCGCTGTGCGTCTGTCTCCTGAGCGTCCTCCCGTCTGCTGGCCGGGGCGAGGGCCTGGCCGACTCCCACTCTAAGCGGGTCTCCGCGTGACCTCACAGCGGAAGCAGGCGAGGTCTCCGACCACCAGGCCTCCCGGAGACAGCGGTGCTGAGAAGGCTAACCCCTGTTTTGTAAAACTACTGTTTGGAATTCTCTGCTATTCTTTAGACGGCCTCTTATTCTAAAAAATAATAATAATAACTTTGCTTTCCAGCCTGCTTTAGCCTGCTTGAATAATGAGGAAGGTAAACTTAGCTGTCTGACCTTGTAGGCCAGAGACTAGATACGCCCATACTCTCAATGCCAGGCCCGGTGCATTTTTTAATCGGATGGAACTGTGTAGTTACCAAGGCCACCAGCGAGATAACCACTAAGCATACCTAGGGCTGGCTCTTTAATAAAAAGGGAAGTTCTGCTTGTAGCTCTGCTTAGGATTTGAATTCATTTCCTCTAAGCCCACCGCGGGGAATAGTGTGACTCCGAACTCTCTGAAAATTGCTCGATTGATTCCGGTTCTCTGTAACACTGCAAGCGAGAGCCCTGGGGGCCAGGGCAGTGCCCGTGCGCAGCGGGTGAGGGCCCGCTCCCACCCTCCTCGGATGGGGAAGCCAGGATCCCCAGGCTCCCTGCAGGGCTTTCTACCCGCATCGCTGGTGGCCTGGACCCGGGGGACACAGCGCCTGGGGGAGCTTGAAGGCTGGGGATCCTCAGCCAAGTCTGAGCAGCTCTCAGCACTGGGAACCCGGAGGGGCCGCAGCACCTCGCGCCCGGAGCCCCTTCTGCCCAGGAGTGTGGCTCCCACCAACCTCACCAGGCGGACCCTGGGTGACAGGCGCCGTCACCGCCCCTCCGAGGTATTTCTCAAGTACGCGGGAAGCGAAGCCTGGCTAGGGAGGGGTCTGCTGCTTTCTGGCCGCTGCCCCCTGCCTGGTGGCCACCTGCCCGCCCTCTGGAGCCAGGGAAGAAGGGAGGCTGCCTCCCTGCCCACTCCTCCCGGCTCTGGCCATGTCTGCCCTTCAGCCCCACTGCCACCTACCCGCTCAGGGCACGTGGGGAAGCGCCAGTGAGCTTATGGCAAAAGCCCCCGAGAAGCCCCACTCCAGTCTGTGTCGTGAGGGGGCGCCGGAGCCCCCCGCCCCCCCAGGCCGTGCTGGTCCCCACCCCGTCTCCTGACCTGACCACCATGTTTGGGTTAGGGTTCTGTGGCTGCCTCTGACCCTCCTGCCTTCCTCTTTCACCCACGGCCCTCTTTCCCCCCATCTCTTCCCAAACACAGAAGTGAGAGGCCGGAGAGAAACGGCCTGGCTGGTTCTAGGGCTGGGCCTCCGACCAGGTCCGCACTCCCAGGCAGCTCGGCTCGAACACCGTTTTTGTTTGTTTGAATATATTTTTATTGATTTCAGAGGGATGGGAGGGGAGAGATGAGAATCATTGCCACACGCCTGGGACCGAGCCCCCAACCCGGGCACGTGCCCTGACCGGGAATGGACCCGACCCCCTGGTCCACAGGTCGGTGCTCAACCGCTGAGCTGAGCCGGCTGGACTCCAGCTGACTGATGCAGCCAACGTTTGCGAGAATCAGCAGGCGACGCAGACACCACGCACACGCACCTCTACACCCGCCCCCACCTCCCGCTGACGCATCCCCCGGACCTCAGGCCTGTAGCGGGAAAGTGCCTATTCGTTGTGTGGGTGGGTGCCACAGCGTTAACGCGTGGAAGGGGTGCCAGCATTTCTGGGAGCCTGTCCTTCACGAGTCCCCAAGCCCTTTCCACACAGCGTGGTTTTCCTCGAAGACCATGTGATAGCAGAGACGTGCAGTCATTTTACAAACCTCGTTGGGATCAGTTATGTCCTTGGAGGGCGATGACATTCCCTGCGTGTCCCTTCTGTTTGGTGGGTGTTTCTTTCCTTTTCCAGCCCCTTCTCAGCTGTGAGAGTATTTTCAGGTTTGCTTTTCTAGAATGGCCGGTCCCTCAGGCAATGGAGGACGTCTCTGGCCGAGGCCACTGCTTAGAGAGGAGCAGAGAGGAAAAGCCAGGCCTTGGATCTGGGCACAAATGGTAGGAAGGGCCTGCAGTTGGGACTAATGTTATTTTGGGTGTTTTTATAAATATATTTTTTATTGATTTCGGAGAGGGAGAGCAAGATAGAAACATCAATGATGAGAATCATGGACCGGCCGCCTCCTGCACGCCTCCTACTGGGGATCGAGCCTGCAACCCGGGACCCTGCAGTCCGCAGGCTGATGCTCTACCCACTGAGCCACACCGCCAGGGCCGGCCCCTCCTCTTGAAGCCACATTCCTCCTCCTCCCAATGCCCCATCGGGCTGAGACAGAAGGTCGAGTTACTTTGGGTGCGGAAGCCAGAGTGACTGGGAAACAACCCCAGCAGTGAGCGCTCGCCCTCCTGTGGGTGCCCCCTCCTGTGGGTGCCCCCTCCTGTGGGTGCTCGCCCTCCTGTGGGTGCCTCCCTCCCAAGGCGTCCGGTCTGCGGGACTGAGAGGGACATGGCTTCCAGGGACGGCTGCGAGGGGAGTGCTGTGCGGCCTCACTGGTGGGTGGGTGGTGGCGCCCAGAGCTGTTGTGTGGGGTCGGAGTCCGCTGGGGAGACCCGTCCTGCGCCCTCGGATCAGGTTAGATGGAGGCTCACCAAGGGGCCCCAGGGCCCCATGAACGAGGTGGCACCCAGGGCTCTGCCCGAGGAAGTGCGGCTGGCCCCTGGGGGCTCTGAGGAACCCAGACCCGACGGCCTGTGCCGCTGCCCGGGCACCCGTGTCCCCACAGCATCCCCCGCACCCAAAGGGCGAGCTTTCCCTGCTACCAGCTGAGGAAACCCCTCTCACAGAGCAGCAGTCAGCACTGAAGTTGATAAAATTGTATTAAGTAAAACTGCCTGACTCACCGCTCTGTACGGGCAGCCAGCAGCCCCGCCCACCCCTGGGGTCTGAGGCCCCTTTCCCAGGGGTCGGGACCCAGGTGGGGGTGCGGCAGGGACCATGGGGCGCCGCACAGGCTGTGGCGGGGGCCTGGGAACTGTGCGTCCGCCGTCACTTTCAGCCAGAGGTGGCGGCGTTTGGAGCTGCTTTCCATCACGCTGCTCACGCCTGGGGGCTCCCGGCCCGGCTGCAGCTGCCCCCCCAGATTCAGGCTGGATGCCGCACTTTACCCATTCCCACCGCGCCTCCCTGCCCCTGCCATGAGCCACCTCCCCACTGTCCAAACCTGAACCCACAAACTGGGACCCCAGGGCCTGAGCCCGAAGCCACGGGCCTGCCACCTCCCTGCCCTCTGATGTTTATACTCTGAGGCTGGCAGGCGGGCCCCGCAGCTCCTTCTAACCGGGGCGCACTGAGAAGACAGAAATGCCGCAGACACAAAAGGCTGGTTTATTGCTTCCGGGACACACACACCTGGAACCACTGTCCACCGGGAGGGAGGATCAAAGCCTAAGGGAGCGTCGGGCTGCTCAGGGCCACACCTGCCGGCCCTGCCAGGCCGGGGCCGGCTCCAGGGGCGCCCTCGTCCTTGGCCCAGGCGGTCCCACTGCCCCCTGAACATCCAGTGAAATTCCTCCCCACCCACGAGGCACCGGAGCTGAGCCAGCAGACAGACCCCCAGGAGGCCGTGGACACTGCGCTGAGTAATCTATTAAACCAACCTTTTTGGTGAAGGACAGGAAGGAACCGTGTGGGGAGGGCAGGGCCCTTGTGAGCTGGAGGGAAAGAGCAGGTGGCGCAGGCGGTGTCCACCAGGGCCCCAGGCAGGCACCCCGGCCAACCCCACCTCCAACTCCCTCAAGACCGAGGGGCCATCAAGACCCGGGTCCACGTTTCTTTAACCCTGGACATAACCTGACCTTGGCACGGGTCCCAGCAGTTCCCACAGCAGGCGCAGGCAGGCCCCAGCCCGCCAACAGCAAGGTGTGCACAGGCCTTTGTGCTGTGGCCGGTGCTGGGTCCTCGGGGGGCACCAGAGACCCCTTAGGTGTCTGAAGATCCATGAGGGCCAGACAGCAATCTGACCTTTGCCCCCAAGAACATTTATATATAAACTAGAGGCCTGGTGCGTGACATTCGTGCACTGGGGGGTGGGGGGCCCTCAGCCCAGCCTGCACCCTCTCGCAGTCCAGGACCCCTCAGGGGATGTCTGCCTGCTGGCAGGGAGTGAGCCTCAGCCTAAGCCGGCAGTGGGACATCCCCCGAGGGGTCCTTAGCGCTGCCTCAGAGCGGGAGAGGCTCCCTCACAAGTCCGGCTTCTGGCTGAGCACTGACCACTAGTGGGCAGCTCCTGCATTGAGCGTCTGCCCCCTGGTGGTCAGTGTGCATCATAGCAATCAGTCTTCTGCCATTGGGCGGACTTGCCCATCAGCCTTTTATCATGCAGGACAGCCATCCATCAAACCCACAGACTCTCACTTCCTTCCCACGAGCTGACGGTGGGCTGGCTCCCTCAGCAGAGGCGGCGCCCGCAGGGCCGTGGCAGCACATGGCGGTTCCTCCTGAGTTTACAGAGACCCTGACTCGGAGGGAGCGACTCTGAAGGAACCTTAGAAAGTAAACACACCAACTGCAGGTGCTCAGGCTACAGACGCTTCTAATTAGCAGCAGAGGATGTTTATAGAAAAAATATACTTTTAAGAAAATAGCTGAGAAAGTCTAGAGATAATAAAAAGTTTACAAAATATATCTTAAGCCAAAATGTTGCCCAAAACATATAAAACTCAATTTCTAAAAATTCACCGAGGAAAGGCAGGCGCTGGTGGCCACACCCGAGGGCACAGGCTCAGGTCTCCACCAGGATCTCCACCACGTGGTCCAGCTCGCCCAGGTCCCGCTTGTAACTGACGCCAGGGGGCGGGGCGCCCGCGGAGGCCAAGGTCTCGAACCCGTCGCCAGGGACTGACTTGGCGCCCACCATGCCCGTCAGCACGGCGTCCAGGTCGTAGTAGGGCCCGTCCATGTCCGCAAACAGCCCTTCCGCCGCGCGGGGGGCCTTGCTGTCCAGCGTCTCGAAGATCTGGTCCAGCGACCTCTGGAAGCCGCCCCTGCTCTCCCGAGGGCTGGCCCCC